CATGTAGACATGGAGAATTCTTTTACAAAGTTTTCTAAATTTAAATTTTAACTTCTTTAGTAGTCCTAGGACAATTAAAGTTATCCTTTATTAAAGTTATTAAAGTTTTTTTGGGTTTTTTTGTTTTTTTTTTAGAGACAGAGTCTCACTTTATCACCCTCAGTATAGTACAGTGCCGTCACAGCTGATAGCAACCTCTAGCTCTTGAGCTTAGGTGATTCTCCTGCTTCAGCCTCCCAAGTAGCTGGGACTACAGGTGCCTGCCCACCACCTGGCTATTTTTTGTTGCATTTTGGCCGGGGCCAGGTTTGAACCCACCACCCTCAGTATATAGGGCTGGTGCCGAACCCACTGAGCCACAGGCACCCCCCTAAAGTTATCTATTTTTTATTGGGATTGCGTTTTTTGAGAAATCGGTTCATGTCATCTGTGTTGTCAAGTTACATGTGTAGTTCCATTCACAGTACCCTTTACTGTCATTCGATGTCAGCAGCCTGTAGAGATAGTCTTTGTTTTATTCCAGATGTTGATGTTTCATCATTTTTCTTTATTGTTCGCCCTGGATGGAGTGCTGTGGCATCACAGCTCACAGCAGCCTCCAACTCCTGGGCTTAAGCAATTCTCTTGCCTCAGCATCCCAAGTAGCTGAGTACAGGCGCCTGCCACAACACCCAGCTATTTTTTGGTTGTAGTTGTCATTGTTGTTTGGCAGGCGCAGGCTGGATTCGAACCTGCCAGCTCTGGTGTATGTGGCTGGTAGCCACTTGAACCAGGTGCCGAGCCTGGGTTTCTTTTGATCTCTTTTTTTTAGATTCTTGAAGTGGAGGCTGAGATGAGTGATTCCAGACTTTCCCCATTTCTAATGTATGCATTTAGTGCCATCACTGTCCTTCTTAGCACTGTTGTCCTGCAAAATTTTAATATGTTGTATTTTCATTTTTGTCTAGTCCAGAGCATTTTCCCATCTACCTTGAGACCCCCTCTTTGATCTGTGGATTGTTTAGCTGTGCCTTGTTTAGTTTCTAAGCATCTGAAGAAAAACTTCCTGTTACCTTTCTGGTTTCCATTCCTAGTTTGACTCTATGTAGCCAGAAAACACACTCTGTGTTATTTTAAGTTTTAAAAATGAGTTGAGGTTCATTTTATGATCCAGAATATAGTCTATCCTGACACCTATTCTGTGGATACTTGAGAAGAAGGTAGTGCTCGTGGGCGGCGTGTTCTTCGACAGCAGGGAGACCGTGCTGGCTGGCGATGTGTCTGAGCTCTTCATCACTCCTGCTGGCTTTCTGCCCAGTTCTATTCGTCATGGAGAGAGGGGGTGAAGTCTCCGACTGTCGCTGTATTTTGTCTGCTTCTCCTTTCAGTTCTCTATGTCTTGCTTCCCAGACCGGGCAGCTCTATCGTCTGGGATTGCGATCTAACGATCTAACGATACATTTGGGATCACGACGTCTTCTTTGTGGAATGGCCCGTTTATTATTATGTAATGTCCCTCTCTATTACTTTTTCTTTGTTCTGAAGTCTATTTTATCTTAAAACAATACTTGTGCTTTCCTTTGATTAACATTTGTATCTCTTCTCATGCTTTAACTTTCAACATGCTCCTATTGTCATACTTGAAGTAAGTTTCCTGTAGACAAAGTATAGTTGTATCATGGCTTTTAATTAACTCTGCCAATCACTGTCTTCTAATTCAGTGGTTCTCAACCTTCCTGATGCTGCGACCCTTTAATACAGTTCGCGACCCACAGGGTTGAGAACCGCTGTTGTAATTGAAACATTTAGACCATTTACATTTGATATAATTATTAATATGTTAGGGTTTGTTTTATTTTCCTAGGGTTGCTGTAACAAAATATCACAAACTGAGTCGCTTAACACAGAAATTTATTGGAGGCCACAGAAATTATGGAGGCCAGAAGTCTGAGATCAAGTAAGATTTGGAGGGTAGAATAAGCAGTAAGAGATATGTTAATAAAAAGGTTACCCTCGCAGGCAACTGGGATTCGGTTCTCCTGAGGACTGTTTTGAGAAATAGGGTGGAACCATTATCAGATTGTCCCGCTGAGAAGGAAGAGCCCAGGCCATTTATTCTACCAGTTACTATCCGTATTAACTTGATACGTTAATTCACCTGCACATCTCCGTTTCACTGGTCAGGAAAAGCACAGAAGAAAGGATGCAGGCACCTATGGTGGGATGCTGTGGATATGTCCTTGTGACAGGAACTGTACAACACCTGCAGGGCACTGAGAGGGCTGGTCACCAAGTCCTTCAACCACAGGCCACCGCTATGCTGCACTGAACCAGCTCATGTTCCAAATCAGGTCCATCTGTAACCAAGGCTTCTGGGTAAGTGTTGGCCACAGTCTCTAAAATAATGAAAATAGATGGTTATTTCTGTAGCTGGTCCGGGTGGTCTTGCAGCTTAGTTGACACTTATCCTAAACTTCTCCCTTACATTTTCTAGATATGCCTCAACCCCACACTCGAGTCTGGGTGTTTGTTTGACAATGTCATCAAGACCCTCTTTTTTTTTTTTTTTTTTGAGATAGAGTCTTACTATGTCACCCTGGGTAGAGAGCTGTGGCATCACAGCTCACAGCAACCTCAAACTCTTGGGCTTAAGCGATTCTCTTGCCTCAGCCTTCCAAGTAGCTGGGACCACAGGCGCCTGCCACAATACCCAGCTATTTTTTTGTTGCAGTTGTCATTGATGTTTAGCTGGCTCAGGCTGGGTTTGAACCTGCCACCCTTGGTGCACGAGGTTGACGCCATAACCATTGTACTACCGGCACTGCCCATCAAGACCTTCTTGTGCTCAAATATTGAGTAAAGCTCAGACACTGCTTGCTTCAGTGAGGCACCTAGGAATTAGCAGTCATGAGAAACCATGACCACCCCAATACTCAAAGGAAGGGCACTGAGGGGTGTCACCAGAGAGTGTGAGCTGTGGAGCAGGGACAGCCTGCAGAACTCTCATCGGAAAAAGCACAGCCATCCAGAGAAATGGAGCAGTGGGTCAGGATCTCTCTCCCTTTCTGCCCTATGCTCTCACATGGGGTCTGCATGTGTTGATCCTAACCTCCTACCAGACTCCCTGCCTGCCTTGGGTTGACCCCAACCTCCAGTCCTGCTATTTCCTGATGGTGTCTACTACCAGCTGAACCCTACTAGGGTCTAATAAGAGTGTAGTTATAGAACTCCCAGAGCTCAGGCCGTGGGGACACAAGGGAAGCTGGGTGAATGATGGGAGGCACCGGGATGGCACCAAGCACACCGAGCATAAGCCTCACAGGGGACGCCTTGTCTCCCACCTTCCTCACGGGTTGTCCCACCACCCTTTTCAAGGATTTTGTTAAAGGTGCCAGTGTCATAAGGTCCCTAGGTGATGATTCACATGTAACAAGGAAGTGAAGGTGCCTGGAGCACATCAACAAAACAGGTGGCAGACAAGTCTTCCCGCTGATGCAGAAGGGCCAGCCTGCTGCTGACCTCAGCTTCTGCAAGAGCCTGGGCCCTGCCCTTTCCCGCTCCCCAAGTAGTGTGGGCTTCCTGCTGGGCAGCACCTTCCACACTGGGGTCAATAATGGGTTGTGCTGTATCTTCAGTGCAGCCCCTTGGGCTGTTAGGGAGGGTGGATTAGTTAGTATTATTTGGCAAGTACCTTGGGGTCCAATCTTGGGACAAAGAGGCACAAAGATGCCATTCTATGGCCCCAGCACCTGCCTCAGAGCCTGGGTCAGTGGTGGGTCTCAGGGCAGTTGATGCAGACCTGGGAACTACAGAGACAGGGAGAGAAAAGGCAAATCTTGCTCAAAGAGGCCAGGGATAAGGCCAGCAGAGCCAAGCACCCAGGGGAGCTCAGCTGGGAACTCTAACCACAGCTGGCAGGTGGCCTCCTGGTGCCTCACTGGGCCCATTTATTTATCTACAAGGCTGAGATGCAAGACCTGTCTGATGGTGAGACTGGGTAACAAACACAAACAAGAAAGAATGAACAATAGCTTGGTGCCCATGGCTCAGTGGTTAGGGCGCTGGCCACATACACCGAGGCAGGCAGGTTCGAACCTGACCCAGGTCTGCAAAACAACAATGACAACTGCAACAAAAAAAAAATACCTGGGCATTGTGGTGGGCACATGTAGTCCCAGCTACTTGGGAGGGTGAGGCAAGAGAATCACTTAAGCCCAAGAGTTAGAGGTTGCTGTGAGCTGTGATGCCATGACACTCTACCCAAGATGACATAGTGAGACTCTGTCTCAAAGAAAAAAGGAAAAGAAAGAATGAACAAGATAATTCAGAAAGTAACAAATGCTCTAAGAAAACACAAACAGTCCGGAGTGCAACATGAAGCCAGGTGGGGGAGGCCATGTTGTCCCAAGTGTGGCTGGAGATAGTTAAAAATGACCCTGAGCCAAAAAACAGTGTCCTCCCCCACCCTGGGAAGCTTCAGGTGGAGCCCCCAGACAAGGTGGGTTCTCAGGCCGGTGAGAGCCCTTGGGTTCTAGGGGATGGGGACTCAGCAGACGGCAGGCCGGAGTCTCTGTGGGGCTAAAGCTCAGTCCCTGTCTTATCAGCAGGAAGTTAGAAGGCCGGTGCCCCCAGAGAGCTCTCCAGGACCCTAGTCATGGCACTGGGAGGGCACAGGTGGCAGAGGAGGCGTCACAAAGCCATGGCCTTCCCTCCCTGCCCCCACTCTGACGAGGCCCCTCCTGCGTGTTGGTGAGTGAGCACGTCTGGGGGGAGAACGCCGGACATCATCACATGTCTTTTCTTCTCTGGGTGGCACTCAGCTGCCATTCATCAGAGCCCAACAATAGCGACAGTCCACCTTCCCGGAGGCGGATTGGCCACAATGGGTGGGGGAGGGGTGGGGTCTGTGCCAAGTGCTCACAAGCCACTGGCCAGGGCTATAAAGAGCGTTGCGAGGGAAGCCAACACAGCCATCAGACGCCCCAGGTGACCTGCTGAGGCTGTGAGCAATAGCCCTGGAGATGAAGGCCCTGCTCCTGACGGCCGTGCTCGGCCTGGTTGCTGCCCTGTCCTTGGCCCTGGAACATCAAGACGTGAGCTGGGCTAGGCCTGTGGGCGGGTGAAGGAGTGAGGCTGGGGAGGTGGCCAGGGGCCCTGTTTTAGGAGGTGTCCTTTAAGGCCGGCTCTGACCCTGCACTCCTGGCCCAGAGTGTTCAAAGAATGAGGCCCTGTTGTGCTGGGGCAGACACAGTCCCCTATGGCGCAGGCACAGGCTCAGCTCAGGGTCCTGCTGCACTGTCTCCCAGAGCCCAGGGTCTTGCAGGGAGAGCTCGCCTGGTGCCAGGCCTGGTTCATCAGGGCCAACACCCTCTGCTAATGGAGCCTGGGAGCCTGAATGCTGGGCTGGCTGCACCTGGGCATGGGATATGGGGTTCGGGGTGCAGGGTGAAAATGTGCTCAGCCTGCCTTTGGGGCTGCAGCTGGGGTGGTAAGTGGAAGTACAGCCTGGGCTGGCCCATGGAGGGCTTACGCCCTGGGCTGCTCCAGATCTCAGGAACCTGGTACGTGAAGGCCTTGGTGACTGACAAGGACCTGCTGAAGGACAACAGGCTCAGGAAGATGTTCCCTGTGAAGGTGACAACCCTAGAAAATGGGGACATGGAAGTCACAATCACCTTCATGTGAGTGTTGCCCCTCAGCCCGCTTTCTCTCCCCCTCCCCAGCCCTGCATGGGATCCCTTGTTTTATTTGTGGTGAAAAATCCAAGGGGAGACAGCTGAGCACCCTTGAGCTCTGCAGGGGTTGCAGTGGTCTGGATGACGCATCAGATTAGCTGAGGAGGCTCAGGGGTGTCCTGGGGGCAGTGGTCTTGGTGATCCACCAGGTTAGCTGAGGATGGCTCAGGGGTGTCCTGGGAACTACCCAAGAGCCTCCTGTTTTCCAGGAAGGAAGATAAATGCCACCAGAAAACAATTCTGATGCAGAACACCGACAAGCCTGGCAAATACACATCTTGTGAGTCCAGCCCGGCTGCATCAGTTCCACAAAGCGGGACACACCTGGGGCAGCCTTTCTGTTAGGAGGCCCTGCCCTGTCCACCTCCCAGGAATGACCAACCTCTCCCTTCCCAGGGAGCCTTGTGGCCAGATCCTGCCTTCCTTCTGGGTGGTCTCAGCTGTTGACCCATGGCGGAGACTGAGGGTTAGAGGAGGGAGTGGGGCAGGGGCACCTGCTCAGAGCTTCTCTGATGTCCCCTGGTCTCTTATGGCCCCAGTGTCGGGGGAGCAGGGAGCCCTGGCAGAGTGTCCCATAATGTGGTCTGCAGCAGCCCCTGTAGGAAAGACGATGCCACAAACCTGTTTTCTCTGCCACCTGCAGATGAGGGCAAGATGTTCCTCCAGGTGCAGAAGCTGCTGGGGACGGACCACTTCATGTTTTACTGTGAAGACCGGAGCCATGGAAGGCTGCTTCGCATGGTGCAGCTCATGGGTGAGAGCCCTCAGAAACCCAGGTCTCCTGCCCACATCTCCACGTCCAGAAGCCAGTGGAACTGACCTCAGCCACACCACCGCAGGGGATAGGAATCTGCTGGCCTCTGAGTGCCGGCCACAGGGTGGGCTGGGCTGTGGGCAGGGGCAGTGTAGGCCACTCATCAGGGGCTCTGGACACCATAACTGCCAAGTGCCACTTCCTGGAGTCTCAGGCATCCAGGGGGGTCACCTCATGTAGGGGTGATGTCCTGACAGAGGCCTTCATGGGGCAGGGACCCTCCAGGGTGGTAGGGCAGCTCAATGCTTCTAGGACACAAGGTCCTTCCAGGTCAGGGTGTGACCCTGCAGGGTGGCTCCTGGAGCTCTTGGTCCCCTGGGGTTGCTCAGCAGCTCACAGACTCCCCAACACCGTCCCCCTTCCTGGGGCTGTGTCGGCCATCTCCTCCATACTCCAACCCCACCCCAGACCTCCATGTCCACCCTTGGGTCGCATCCTCTCCTACCCTCAACCGCTCTAGGACAAAGTCGCCTGTGGCCATCTCCCAGTATCTGCTCCCTGCTCACCTGGCCGCCTCCCCCCACCCCTAGGCAGGACTCTTGATACCAACCCCAAGGCCCTGAGAGAATTCAGGAAAGTTTTGCAGCACAGGTGGTTCCTGAAAGACGAGGACATCTTCATGCCCATGCAGATGGGTGAGAGGACAGCTCTGCCCACGGCCCCTGTGCCCTGTGACCTCCAGGCTACCCTGTGACCCCTGTGTTCCCCCAAGTTCCCTCACAGGGACGCCAAGGCCCTGCCTTGGATGTTGGCTGCCATGGGTGGGTCTGAGCTGGGCTATCATGGGTGTGGGCCCTCATCCAGGGCAGCTCCTCACCCGGGTCTTTCTTGGTGTCTACAGAAACTTGCTTCCCCAAACATGTCTAGGGTAAGTAACACTTTGGGAGCCACCTGAGGAGCCCAGAGCCCTGGGTTCCCCAAGGGAGGGTCTGTCTGCACTGGCCCCTTACCACCACACACAGGCAGGAGCAACCCACCCCCCGTCCTGGGCCAGGCAGGAAGCCAGTACCTCAGGGTCTGTCCCAGTGAATTCCCAGGACATCAGGAAGTCCTTTTGTCCCCTAAGCCCTGCATCCTGGCCCATGGAGGTCTTCATGGGCTCTTCCAGGGCCCAGGCCTGCAGTGGACCCCCCATGACAGCTCGGTGTCATCCATCCCTGCACTGCTCCCACCGGGTCCCCTCACACAGACCCTACCAGGTCTAGGAGATCTGGATCACTCTCAGGCTCCATGGCTGCCCAGCAGGACCAACATGGGACCTGAGGCAGCTGGAAGTGGAAACTCTGCCCAGTGTCTGCCCCCTCCATTGCCCCCCGACCTCTGCTTCCAGCCCTCCAGCCTCCAACCTCTACTCCTCTCCCCAGCTCTGGAGCTTGCGGGTCTACACCTCCAGAGTCCACCCTGCTGCCCAGTGGAGCCCCAGCTCACCTGGACCTGCCTTCCACCATCCCCTCCCTCACCTCTCCCCACCTGACTCCAAATAAAGACCTTCAGCAGCCGCTCTGCACTCATGTGTCTGTGAAGGGATCTCGTGTTGGCTGTCGGGGGCTGCTGGGAGAGGGAGCCACCTGGGAAGCTGGGGAGATGCTGGACCCAGAAGGAGTCCACCCCAAGGGGCAGCATCTCACAGGCCCAAGGGTTGTGTGATGTCCTAAAGCAGTGGTTCTCAACCTTCCTAATGCCACAGCCCTTTAATACAGTTCCTGTGGGTTGTGACCCACAAGTTGAGAACCTGTCCTAGAGGGTCCCCTGTAGAGCCGCTGCTGGAGAGGCTCAAGCTCAGCTTGGTTTTGTTTTTTTGTTTTATTTTGTTTTGTTTGAGACAGAGTCTCACTTTGTCACCCTTGGTATAGTGCCTTAGCATCACAGCTCACAGCAACCTCAAACTCTTGGGCTTAAGCAATTCTCTTGCCTCAGACTCCCAAGTAGCTGGGACTACAGGCACCTGTCACAATGCCCAGCTATTTTTAGAGATGGGGTCTCCCTCTGGCTCAGGCTGGTCTCTAACCTGTGAGCTCAGGCAATCCACCAGCCTCTGCCTCCCAAGTGCTGGGATTACAGGCGTGAGCCACCATGCCCTGCTCGACTTGGGATGGCAGGGTCTGGCAGAAGAGCATTCCTGAAGCCAGCAGGGAGACTGAGTCAGGCTGCAACAGTGCTGGTCCTGGCAGGCCTCCGCCCCAGCAGGGACTCAGTGAGCCCTCCATGGCCCCATTTTGGCAGCGTTTTCGGCCCCATTTTGGCTGGTGGCAGGGGTAGAGTAGGAGCCTTGGGGCTCTTCCCTTATCACTCCCCACCCCCAGCAAGACAGAGCTGTCAGCGGCCTCCACGGATCCTCATCCCCACCCTGGCCTTCCTGTGGATTATCTGAGGACCAGGGTCTGTGCTGACGCTGGGGCCACAGGGACGTGGGGAGGTCTGCCAGTGTGGGAGAGGAGAGGTTACCTTGCCACGGGTAACAAACAATCCAAAAAATCCAAATAGGTCAAGCTTCCCAGAGGACAAGACTGCCAGGAGCTGTCTCTCCCCAAGGAGCCACTGGTCCTTCAGCCAAGGAACCAGCTATGTGACTCTCACCTGACCTACCATCCTCTCCTCACTCCTCCCAATGGCCCTGGCTCTTGTGGGTGGGGGAAAGGGCAGCTCTGATATAAGTCAACCCCCCAGGAGCCAGGTGGAGCCAGCAGAACTGTGCATGGTGTCCAGTGGTGCAGACCAGGTCCTCCCAAAAGACAGAGGGCAGTGTCTCCCTCACTCCACACCCCCATACAAATCCAAAAGGGTTAAAGACTTCTATGCAAAAGTAAAAGATATAGGTAAAAATATTCAACTGATCACAGGGTAGAAAAAGATTGTTGAAGCATCTAAGCAATGGGGGTGAAATGTTGATTGAAAAGAGAGATTGGACTATGAAACCTGTGAGCCTGTTTCCACGGGTTTTGACCATATGACCCTCCCAGACACCCACTATCCAAAGTATTTGAAGACAGCTGTTAGGAGGAAGTTGGGAGAACTTTCCATCCCCTGCCCAAACTCTGCAGGGCTTGGGGCAGAAACTCCACAGGTGCACAATGGTCCCTTTGATGCCTGAAAATCAAGAAATCACACAAATGTGAATGAGACCCAAGTTCCTTTCTGTTTCCTTAAAAATGAGGTTTATTATATACGTGCGAAGGAATACATGAGTCCCAGAGAGGGTGTACCAAGACTGGTCCCACTAATGTCATTTGTCCAGCAAGGCCAGCAGCGGCGCTGCCAATGTTATGCCAGCTTCCCTCAGCCGGGAGGGGGCTGAGTGTGGCACCAATTCCCAAGCATTCCAGCTGCTGCAGGGGAGGTAAAGGTGGGCTTCCGTGGGAGGAGGAGCCCCCCAAGAGAGGGGCTGAGGGCGCTGCAGGTGGAAATGTGGCCGGTGTGGCTGTAACATTGAGTCCCGAGGGGACACGGAAGACCCAACTGCACCCCGCATGGGCCCTCGGGTAGCCTCAGGAACACTCACACCCCTCATTGAGATCACACTCTGCTGTCACCAAGCCTGCAGGGTGACATTTGCCTGTGACAATTTCTAAAAAACAAAAAGGAAAGACTTAGAGCACAGCAGTGTTGAGCAAGGCTCGGCTCTGGCTGCTGCCGTCAGTGCCAAGACACAGCTGCTGCTCATCTTTCCCTCAGCTCTCCTGGCCCGTGACTCCACTGGCCTAGGTCACTTTTCCAGTGGTCACACCAAGCTGCCCAAGGTCTGAGCCCCCTGGTGCGTGCCTTGAGGCCTGTGGCACTGCCCAGAGCTCTGACACCTTCCCCGCCCCTGCGTGGGACAGTATGGCTGTCATACAAGGTCTTTGTTCCTGACAACAATACAACTAAATAAAAATTCATCAACAGAAGTATTTTTTGAAAAAATCCATAAGTATTTCAAAACTAAATAGCATACGTCTAAATAACCCACAGGACAAAGAAGAGATGAAAAGGGGAATGGGAAGCCTAACAAAATGAAAATGAAAACACACCATGAAAAATTTGCGGAATGTCCCACAGCTATAGTCAGGAAGAGATGCGTGGCATTGAATGCCCAGTTGTTAATTTTATTTGAACTCAATTTATTTTATTTGAGCCCTGCCCAAATTGTGGAATTATGTGCAAATAAATGGGTGGTTGTTGTTTAATTCATTAAGTTTTTCAGTGGTTTGTTACCAGCAATAGACAATCCAACATCAGCCCCTGCTAATCTCCACCTAAATTAAATTTTATTTAGGGGAGTATAAAGTAGCTGTGTTTTCATCCTGTCCTTCCTTCTATGCTTATTATCTGGTATTATTCTGCAAAAAACATTCTCTTTCTCTCTCTCTTTCAGCACCATTATAACCTCATTGGTTTAAAAACTTGTATTCAGAGCCTTCCTCTCAGAGCAGGTGGCTGATGGCTCACTCCCCTCTCCCTGTGCTGTGAGGCTCATGGAGTGACTTCTGCACTCCTCAGCTCTGCAGGCCGGTCACCATCTGCCCCCAGCCCGCCTTGCTGAACAGGAGAGGGTGCTCAGCTTGCCGGGGCTCTGCTGGAGAATGAAGGGGCTGCTGGGTGCCGGCGGGTTGGGATGGTGACGGGGCACTTGCTGGATACTCCTACTCCAACACAGAAAATGAGGCCGGGGAGATGATAACATGAGATATTTCATAAACAAAATATTGTATTTTCTCTTCAATTGCATTAAAAAAAAAAGAGAGAGAGAGGGAAGCATCCAGGCTCCAGAAGCAGGAAGGGAGCTCAGAGCAGTGGTGGGGGTGAGGCCACAGGGCCCCCGAGAGCCGGGACCAAAAGTCCACCCTCGGGTCCAGGCCATCAGTGGCTGTTCCCGGGCTGGAGAGGCAGCTAACCTGCGGCCAGGAACAGCCAGAGGGGTGCTGATCTGTGGCACCCCCATCCGCTGACGGGCACCTCCAGCTGTAGACTCCGGGTCTCTCTCTTCCTAATTTCCAAATAACTGTGGGTTTTCTTGATAACTTCTTATTATTGATTTAATAATTTATTGCCTTGCAATAACATCATCTTAATCCCATGACCTATACAAACTCGTTCTTATCCCTTAGTTATGGACTATCTTGGAGATTTATGTTTCAAGTGCACTTGAAAAAAGTGTGCTCTGAGTTGCTGAGAGCGTGTTCTCTAAGCACCGGCTAGACGGAGGCAGTCAGCATTCCTCACAGCTTTGGTGCCCCGACACTGCGTCCCCTGGTCCCAGCAGTGGCTGAGACCCTGCTGTAACTGTGGGTCTGTCTATTCCTGGCCTTTGTACTCTTATCTTCTGCTTTATGTGTTTTAAAGGATTTTTCTAGGTGCATACATGTTTAGGGTCATTCTTTTAATGATTTTATCCTTTATCCTCATGAAGTGTTCCTTTTTATCTCCAATAATACACTTTATCTAGAAGCATATCAATGTGGTCCTTCCCGGGACCTTCTGATTACCGTTTGTATGTGAGATCTTTTTCCAGCCTTTCACCACCAACTCCCTGTGTTTTCATATTTGAAGCCTGTCTCTTGTAAACAGCATGTAACTTGGTTGGTCTTTGTGTCCAGTTTGATAACCTTTTAACTGGAGTATTTACTCCTTCTGCACATAACAAAAGTAACACATCTGG